CCTCATACAACAGAAATGGTGCATGAAATTGTTTTTTGACTAGACTGGATCAAATCTTGGAGCAAATACCATTTTATAGAAGAAAAAAAACTGTAGATGTCGGTGACAACCAGGTTGCTATCAGTTAGACAAAAGTCTTAATTCTTGAATCACAATTGGCGGAACTCTATCAGCAAAAAGATCATGCACATAGATGCAAAAAGATATTTGGCAAGCCTGGTGCGTCAGGATCCATGGCCGCGGGTTGGCAAGGCTGCTGCGGCCGCCGCACCACGGGTTGGCTAGAGTACTGGCCCACGAGCCCGCCTCGCCGCCGCCTGGCCCCACCGAATGACACCGCCCCGCCTAAGGACGCGCGTAGCTGGTGCTGGGCGCTGCTGGCCGCAGGATCCTCTGCTACCTCCTTCCATCAATCTAGGGTTTAGTTTTTTCGGAGAAGAAGGTCGTGGGAGACAAGAGTACCGCTCGGCTGCTGGGGGGGGGGGGGGGTTAGGGGAGAAAATTGCGTGCACGAGTAAATATCCATGTGAAAGATATCGGGAGAGTTGCTACAGTGATATCTTGTTATATCTCTCCTATTATCCATTTGAAAGATGGGCCCTACAAATGTGTAGGAGACAATGACCGGAAAACGATGGTTAGGGTGAGCCCATACTATTAGGGGAGATACGACTCCTTATTTATTTTCATTTTAGGGGAGGTGATGGAGATATTGATGGCCAAAAAAGAAGAGGTAATGAGGACGCATTGGCCCTGTTCGCTTTGCTGAAAAACCATGGCTGAAAGTATTATTCGTTGATTTGTTGTGAGAGAAAAACATTGTTCGTTCGCTAAAATAGTACGGCTCATTAGATAAGCAAACAGGGCTATTGTTGGAGTTAGAAAAAAAAATTACTCTAAAAACGGCGGTACGTAACACCTTCTAACTTGCATGGAAGACAGCTCGTGGTAAATAATACAAGCAACTGTGAGAAGTGCTTTCCGAAAACCTTGTTCTCTCTGATCCAATGTAGAATCACAAGGATGCGAGAGACCTGCTCAGCTTATGGTGAATAACGCGAGCATCGCGTAGCTGGCAAAGGCCAATAGGCAATAGCTTGGGTCATAAACAAAGGAGAAACCGCATGATTGTGGATGGAGCACAATTCATTTTCTGCGGTGAGCAAACCAGCTCGTCGATCCCGCTTGTGAAAACAAAGTTCAATTCTTGGTAGAGTGGAATCAAATACGCTCCTAACAGAATGGAGGATGGGTCTAAGTCATCCTTTACTTCTAGTAACAAGGAGAAACTGAAGCCTTGCTCGGAATAACTTAGGGCCTATTTAGCACAGCTCATAACAGTTTCATGAGCTGTTGTGAACTTTTTTTTTTATCAAACACTTATTTTCAAAAGTTTTGTGGGTGAAGCTATTTTTTATCTTCTCTCACAAAGATATAAGTTGGGATGAAACTAAAAATAGTAGCTTATCCTAGCTCTCTCCCTCAATCATGCATGATGCTATTGGTTAAGCTATTTTGCCAAATATTTTTTTTCAAAACAACTCAGCTTGAACAAAAAAGTTATTTGTGAAGTTCTTTTTTAAAAAAACAAAACAACTTCACTAGTGAAGATGGGTTGTGCCAAACGGGATCTTAGTTTCCTCACGCTTCAATTCCAAGCTAGATTCCATGACAAGCTAGATTTTCAAAGAAGCAAAATAGGAGAAAGCTAACCGTTTGGCGGTTTGATTCTCCACGGGTGGAGTGGCCACCGGTAGGAGTATTCGGTGGGCGGACTGACGAGGAAGACTGAGGCCAGGGACACGGGCCGCGAGGCAGCTACATTTCTCCATGCATTGCCGCTGCAACGCTTCATTGCTAGATCACAGCCGCAAGTGCCCCTCGCCAGTAGTAAGGATGAAGGACGAGGATGTTGTAGGAGAACATCTGCGAGCACAGCCGCCGAACGAAAGAAAGAGGTGGGCATGGCCGGCGGCACTCGAGCAAGAGAGGAGGAGAGGGAGGCGCGGAGCCAGTGAACCGGAGGACGAGAAGATGAGCATGCGCGAAGGCCAGTGAGGGGAAGGGACTTGCGGAGGCTGGCGAGGAGGAGGGAGCAACGGACAAACGGAAACCGAGAGGTCCAGGAGATCTTTCCCATTGCTCTCTCCATGCCGCTTCAACTTTCACGTATAAGTGTCGTTGTGCAAAGAATCATGGGAAAAGAAGCTGAACACGAAGCGAACCGTTTGAGGTCGTCCGTCCGCTTCTTTCAACCATAATCGGTCTAGAATTATTTCAAATAGGGTCTAAAGGTTCCGCCATCCTCCACTTGCTATACATGATAGACTTTTTTAGGTTTATTAGAATCAAGTCCATCGATTCTGCTATCCCTAAGGGCAACCACAATGTATACGCATGCGACCCATGTGGTTAGTCCATAACTATTATTTAGTCACAATGTTCAGTCAACCAGCAGTCCATACGGTGGGTCTCACCAAAGATAAAAAAAAATCCCTCATCCAACATATTGGGTGGGCAAAACTAAGAGAGAGAGGGAGAAGAAAAAAATATTATATTTCTTTTTTTTCTTATAGGTAGTTTATGAGCTTATCGACATCTTTTGTTATGGTCTACTCTATTGATAGGTTTCAAAATGTTTTAGCTACCTTATAATATTTTTAGTCCGATTAACTGCTTTGGGTGGTATATTGCGGTTGATGTTTAGAGTGACGCGGGCGCACGCCGTTGTGTGAATTTTTTACACAAAAAAAGTAATTTGAAGCAAGAAGGAACAAAAGAAAAAGGGATATATTATATAAAACAAATAAAATAAAATACCCAAGATGACTGGAGTATTCCCTGACTGACGACTGACTCTCCTCGATTGTGGCCGACCCCAAGTGGCAAGTGCGAGTGACGTCCGAATGAACCGTCACCGTGTGGCCACCGCGTGCTTGCTTCCCTCCGCCACCACCACCGCGGCGGGCGCCAAGCATGAGCATCCATCCTCCTCCTCCCGCTCCCTCTATTTCTACCATCACGCCGCCTCTCCCGTCTCCTCCCCAAGGGATCACACCGCACCACTGACCACCCCGGCCTCCCCGCTCTTGTCTCTGTCCTACCCATCTTTAGGCTTTAGCCGCGCGCATGCAAGAAGGGAAGTAGCCGATCGATCAGCACAGCACTCGGCCGATGCGTAACGAACCAACACCAGCTAACAAATAGGAGGCGCGCGCCTTCTTCTTGCTCTGCTCCGGCCGTTGGTTGCGGCTGCCAGTGCCAGGCGAACCCAAGGTCAGAGGCCTCGCTGTTCAGGACCCCCGCTTTTTTCCTTTCTTTGGATCCTCTGCTTCGTCTTCATGGCGGAGCCAGGATTCCAAACTTGGGTATTCCTACTTCCACGTCAATAAAAAAAATAAGTTGTTTTTAACTGCAATGAGTGAAAATACTATAAAATATGAGCCAATTTGAGAGGCTGTTTTTTTTACTATTTTAGGCTTCAATAAGTGAAAATACTACAAGATATGGCATTATACATATACATATACATATACAAGTATATACACATATATACATAGAAGTGTGCTAAAATAGTTGGGTATTCCTGGGAATACGGGAAATACCCTCTGTATCCGCCCATGGTGGTGTATAAATGCTTCTCCCTCTTGGGCGATCTCCTTTGTGCCTGCGCCATTGGGGCCTGTTTGGAGAGGGGGGTTGCCATCCAAATCGAACCAGATTCTCAACATCCATAAAGCAACCCCCCTCCTCATTCCAAACAGGCTACCTTCTTGAGACGGCTCCCGGTAAATCCATGAATCCTTTTGCTGATCGGGGCCCTTTTTTCTGGTTTGATTTTTCTACCTTTTCATATATTTATATGGTTCTGAATTCTCCACCAGTAGTAGAGGGAGAAGAGGCCCGATATGGCTGTATCAGATCGGTGTTTTCCTGTCTGTCCCTTTCTGTGTGATTTTGAATTTGTGTGCTGTTAGTTAATGGAGAGGAAACCAAGATCAGTTTTTCCTAGTTGTGAATCGGCCTAAAATGGAAAAAACAAAGTTGGTCAATGTTGTTTCCTTGGCAACCGTGGGATGGGCAAGCAAGAACACCACGATGGAGAACCAGACAAGAAATCTGATGATCTTTTCCCTTGTAGTTTCACCCACACGTCCATCCAACCGGAAGGAAGACCAAACCATTGTTCTGTCAATCTTTTGTTGTTGTTGGCCGGGCTTACAAATTAATTAATTTACCCCCAATAAATTTGGCTGTCATTGCCGGCAGACTGGCAGTTGGAGGGGCGTCTCATTCTGCTCATTCATTCGCAGCATTTCGCAGTCTCTCGCCGCCTTTATTCCCATGTTGCGTATTCTTTTTGTATATTTATTCTTTTGGGTTTAGAGGACTCCTGTGTGTGTTAAATAAATCTGGATCCCGCGTCCGTTAGATCACATCACGTAACGTTACAGCCTTCCAAGAAACAGAGAGCCTTCTTCTCCGTACTGTACTGTACTGTACTGTACTGTACTGTACTGCCCCATCCCTCCTTGCCTTGCCTCGTGGTCGTGGATCGTGATCGGTTTGCGGCCGGCCATGGTGGATGAGTCACTGCTGGTGCTGGGTGTGTCTGTAGCAGCTCTACAGCCTGTTCGGAAGGCCGTATCGTATCGTGGATTATTTACTATTTGTTTGTTTGGTGTGAGAAAAAAACACTGTTCTACGATCGTTTATGAGCAAGCAAACAGGGTGCTAGTTGTTTTTTCCGTCTGTCAACTAACCAGTATTCTCAACCAGGTGCTGATTGATTGGTGCAGGGCTAGCTGCCAGGACGGCTCCGCTCCAGCTTCGCGGCCCTCCAGCTCTCCCCAGTTCACACTGGCCTTCCTATCCCTCGTGCCAACGCCGCCTGGCGACCTGAGCGAGGAGCATGCGAGTTTGCCCTCCTCCGTCATCGTCATCGTCATCGTCATTGTCATCGCGATCCCGGCGTCGCTGCTCCGGCGTGCGTCTCCCGTATGGCCAAGCTGGGCTGCTTCCCCGCTCTGCTCCCCGGCAAGAGGAAGAAGAAGACCCGCAAGATCGCCGATGCCAACAAGGCCAGCGGCAACGAATGTCCCAAGGTGAAGCCGGTCGAGCTCATCGATGCGACGCTTGCTGCTGCCATCAGGGGATGCGAGGAGAATGTCGCCGTGGAGGACAACAATAAGGAAGCTTATCAATTGGCGTCGGTGAAGGGGAGTGATCTGTCAGATTTCGACTTCCACTTCCACGCGGCCAAGAAGCCCATCCGATCCGACGGTGACGTGGCACTGGACACCGCGGTGGCGGAGGCGGCGGACCCGTCGCCGAAGCTGAAGCGGTCTTGCTCCAACATCGAGACTAAGCGGCCTGGCTCGCGTGCCGCTCCCGAGATGCCGGCCCGGTCGCGCTCCTACGGCGATCTCGGGAACCTGATCACCGGCCTCGCCCTGGACACGACGGCGGCCGCGCACGGCGCGCCGGAGGCGAGCCCGGCGTCGGTCAAGACGTCGCGCACGGCCGACCGCGTGATGCTGAAGAAGCGGTCGTCCAGCCAGGTGCTTCCCTCGCGCAGCCGGAAGCTCTGGTAGCGGCTCTTCCTCTGGAGCCACCGCAACCTGCACATGCCGCGGTCGGCGAGCACGGCCCATCAAGCAGCGTGCTCGCCTGGCCGCCACTGCGGGTACACCTCGGACACGTTCGAGGAGGGCCCGGCGGCTGACCGCAAGAACAAGAAGGTCATGGTCGACGACTCGCCGCCGCCGTCCGTGCCCAACCAGTGGGTCGCCTTCTCCGCTGAGAAGGCCATCCACGACCGCATCAGCGCGTGGGTGAGCAGCATCGAAAGCGAGCCTCCGTTCCACATCGCCGAGGAGGATGACAACTACGATGGAGAAGACGACGAGGAGCATGGCGGCGAGTGTGCGTCGGAACGGCCGCGTCATCTCGAGCTCGGGGAGCCATCCTCAGGGAAGGGCGGCCACGGCAAGTCCAAGCGCTGCGCAGCGGCTGACGAGGTCGTCCAGGCCAACACCATCGTGCAGTCCCTGAACGCCTTCTCGTCGGTGGCGCACATCCAGGCCCGGTCCTCCCAATTTATAGGCCTGGAGCGAAGCCATTAAAATAGACCCTTAATATAACTCTAATGATATAATAATGTTTATAATAAGTGTAATACATAAAAAAAACATGTTTATCAAACAAATTATATATCTTACCTTAAAAATTTCATCTAACGTTTACCGATGCGAAGTCATTTCCTCCACAGCAATTATTGCCCACTCATCTAGATTTTTTGAAGTGCTTGTATTACTCTTAAAAACTTTATCAATAGCTTCTCTTTGTGATTGTATCAAGTCATCTATCCTTCTCTTCTTTTTTTCTTTTCTCACTTCCAGATGCGTGCTTTTTGGGCAACATGAGTTCACTGTAAATAGTAAATTTATATATGAAAAATATGTCATACTAGATTGAATCCAACATCATAATAAAAAATGAGTGCTAGTAAATTACCAGGTTGAGGACTAGAGAAAATGATTATTCACTGCCCTAGCTGCACAGTAAATCCCAAATCACAATTTCAGAGGAGTCCCAAGTGGCCAAGACGCCAAGTCTTGTATTCTAAAGATTAAAGATTGGAGACAAAGAAAACTTAAATATTGATTTAACATATATATTCTTGACATACATCAATCAAGGGCTTAGGGGCAATTGGTACCTCCCAGAACGCTCGAACGGAGAGACCGAGTGGGCCTGGGACACGCCGGCGGCCGGCCGCCCGGTGGACGCTGGTCATTGCCGCGACGAACGGGTGCACAGCCATCGGCGACGGCGATGCCACGATGCGCATCGGCGCAGGCTCGGAGGTTGAAGCGGGGAAGAACCGAAGAAGCCGCGCGGCGGAAGGCGAAGAACGAAACGACGCGGACGCGGAACTGCGGGGGCCAGGTCGACGCTACACGCAAGGAGTCTTGGGCTCCTGAATTTTTCTATGGGTCAGGGAATACTATACCTATACCTTCACATATGGGGTTGGGCCCCTTGGGGTCGAGGGCCCAGTGCGGTGGCACAGCTCGAAACCCCCAGGGCCGGGCCTGCGCACATCTCAGGGATGGGCCTCAAGGTGGTGCCGATGATCGCGCCCTTCTCAACCCTCCGGGCCGTCAACCTCTCCAGCAACTTCATCGGTGAGCAGAGCACTAACTACCTGCTGAGCAAAATCTATTATCTAGTAGCTAGGACAACTCCTAGTGCTTAGCTTATTACTCTCAGTTTGATTTCTGTTGCTGAGTTATTTGAGTTGCTGCTGCAGTTCATATCTCCCCTGGATCGCTGCCCAAGGGCCTGCACTCTCTTGATCTGTCTAGGAACAAGATTGCCAACATCGAGGGGCTCCGGGAGCTGACGAAGCTACGCGTGCTCAACCTCAGCTACAACCGGATTTCGCGGATTGGGCATGGTAAGCACGTCTATTCTGAACATTCACTGCATCATTCAGAGTTTCATTTCATACTTGAGGTTACTCCGTTACTGCTGCTTGTATGTGCACATGCACATGTAACAACTACTCGTAAAGATGCGATCTGAGTTTATCATCTAGCCGATACAGTATGTCGGTGTGGGTCAGAGACTCAGAATCATTGATCAAGACATCCCACATTGTGGTACCTGTTCCATATCGTGGCTGCCAGTGCCCACCCAGTGGAAGCTGCTGGGACCGGTACCGTTGAGATGACCCTGTCCTGATTCGTTTATGCATTTGCTTTTTTTGATTGAGGTGGCCCATGGAGGCATGGGCGAAGGATCCACTGCTGCCTACTGACATGCATCATCTTCGATTAATTGCATGGCTTAATTAAGCAATCACGAATGTTCTAGCATGCTATGACCGGTTTGATAGCCACTTCCAGGCTTCTAGCTTAGGATATGGATATGCAGGGAAGAAGATCCTAGCATCATTCAGGGTCACAGAATGAAATTCAGTCAGAAAGTCTGCATGAACCATATATATCCAGTTTGTACACCTCCTGCTGCTGTTTCTTTGCTCATGGATGGATTTCTCTGTGTGCTGCTGCCCGCGATATATGGATCAGGTTTGTCCAACTGCACGGCGATCCGGGAGCTGTACCTGGCGGGCAACAAGATCAGCGACGTGGAGGGGCTGCACCGTCTGCTGAAGCTGGCGGTGCTGGACCTGAGCTTCAACAAGATCACGACGGCCAAGGCGCTGGGGCAGCTGGTGGCCAACTACCACTCCCTCCTGGCGCTCAACCTCGTGGGCAACCCGGTGCAGGCCAACGTCGGCGACGACGCGCTGCGCCGGGCGGTCACGGGGCTCCTCCCGAGCCTTGCCTACCTCAACAAGCAGCCCGTGAAGCCGCAGCGCAGCACGCGGGAGGTGGCCACGGACAGCATTGCGCGCGCCGCGCTCGGCGGCTCGGGCAGTCGGAGCGTCCGGAAGAAGACGTCGCGGCGGCTCACGCAGAGCCCCCGCTCGTCGCCGATGACCAGGGGCCGTGGTGGCGGTGGCGGCGGCGGCTCACCCACACCAAGAAACCCATCTCGTCGTCGTTGACCAGGGGAACCAACTGCGTGATTTGTTGAGATCATTGGAGACGGGAGACGGCGGCGAGACCGGGCAGCCAAGCACCACGATTGGCACGGCGAGAAGGTGAAACTGATCGGTGGGGAAAACTATGTATGTTGTGAGACAATTGCGATGGAAACATAATGTACATACTTGTTAGGGAGAGATTGCTTAGATTGATGCTGTGCTCGATGCATCTTTGTAGCTGCAAAACAGCAATTTGAGCTTGGTTGAAGATGAAGATCCAACATCGCACTCATTGTTCTTTCTTGTGTGCTTTATAGCTAGAAAAAAAGGATAAAAAAGCTTTAGTAAAATAGAATCTCTACCACCTATTAATAGAGAGGTAAAATTTTCGGTGATTTTTTTTCGTCCACCTCTCCCTAGCTATCGATAGTCGAGTTTTTTTTCCGTTTGGACTTGTATATATATAACCCGTGCTCATACGAATTAGAATAGTTCTTGTCTAGTGCAATATGGAGTCCGATTATGAAACATATTGGGTTGTGTATGGTTGGGTTCCTTTGGTAGAACCTGCCCAGCCAGGATCAAGTTCTCGACTTGGCACGAATACTCATATTTTTTTGGATTTTTTCGGGATTTAACGGTGCTATGTTTTCAGTGGTAGGCGACATCCCCGTCGACAGCGAGACGCTGGTAGTAACTTCATGAATCTCAAGATGTGCCGGCTCAATCCTTCGGATGTGCTTATAGGGGTAGCGTTTGCGTACGTGTGTTCATAGAGGTGAGTGTGCGTGCGTATCATGGACGTCTGCGTTTTACTGTGTGATTTAAAAAAAAAAGAGTCTATACTCAATGCGATTACTATATAAAAAATGCGATTACTATATAGTAAATTTGGTTTTTTTTTCTTTTCCTATTCCGTCGTATATTCGGTAGTTTCTGTGGTTTTTCGACCTGTTACTGTATCCGATCCGTTTTTCATTTTCGTATTTGTTCCATTTTTTCTGATTTTCTCTTTTTGTTTCGTCTTCTCCTTTTTTTTCTTCTTTTCTGGACTATATCAGATCCGTTTCATGCCCTTTCCCTGGTTATTACCTAAACTCGCACTCCAACCAAAACCGTGCCTCATCCAACCTGTTCGCTTAGTGTTTGCAAAAAAAAAAAAAAACAAAACAAAACAAAACAAAAAAAACTGTTCGCTTAGACCGTGCCCGTTTTTTTTTCTGGAAAGCGTCAGTCCGTGCCCTTTGCCGGATTGTTTTTTCTATTTTTTTCGATTCCGCCTGTCCACTAAGACCCATGTCCGTTTCCTTCCCGTGGAAAGTGTTGCCGTCCACGGTTGTTTTTCTTTTTTTTCGCTTTCCCCACGTTTAGTTCCATGGTTTTTTTCTTTTTTTTATCTCTTTTTTTATAAATAGAAAAAATAAATAATAAAGATAGCATTATGTGTCTTTGATCTCTTTCTCGTTTCCTAATAAATAGATATTTTGTCACTAATCAATCTAGATCAACTGATGATCCAACTAATCAACCTTAATAAATATAATAGTTTGTCATCCAGTCTCATCTATATCTATATACCTATATATACTTCTATATCTAATATTACATATTAAATAGCCAAAATTTTATTCTTCTTTAATTTGTCCACCTCCCCTAACTAACCATATAGTGGAGAGTTCTTTTCACTCGTTTTTTTCGTTGATCCGGACTTATGACCTATATAGTCCTATACCAATATGAGTTAGAACAACTCGCATCTAGCGGTCCGACTCATAGTGGGTCGCGTCCTCCGTATCTCGTACTTGATCTGGACGCATTGTCCAACTCCAATATGTATTGGGTCGCGTACTCCCTATCTCGTACTTGACCCGGACACATGACTCCTACTAACAACTCGCATCTAGCAATGATACGGAGTTCCATTCGTATATGTAATGGGTTCCGTTGCAATGCACGGGCATTTTTGCTAGTAAAAATATAAAACCGACAAAAGAAAGTTAGAGCATCTCCAATAGTTTCTAAAAAAAATTGGTAAATCAATAAATTTTTCGAGGGCTAACAAATGTTGTGGGCATATTCGTTGGCTTCTTCCAACAGTTTTCAAACGCTCGCTTCTAAAATATAAAATGTAATTTTGCAATAGAAATCTCGCACTATTTTCAGACCACTCTAACCATATTTATATTTTTTCTCTCTCTTGTATATTCATATTGGAAACCCTATCATACTCCTCATTTTTCCCACGTCCTTCCACCTTCAGATTGACTAATCGATACGCGCCTATATTTCCGCACGATTGAGTCGGTTTTCCCAAGTGTGAAAATATTAGGAGTTGATATAGGGACCGATGTCGGTTTTCTGAAGTGCGGAAAGATTGGGAGTTGAGATAGGGACCGATTGATACACATGTGTATGCACGATTGAGTCGGTTTATCCAAGAGCAGAAAGATTATGAGTTGAGATAGAAAGTTGTTGGAGAACAATTTTTTTTTAATCTTGCAAAAAAATTAAAGATTAAGAGTGAGTTTTGGAAAGAGATGGTCGTATAATAGTTGTCCGACCTGAAATGACTACAGTCCTCCACTCAGTCAAGTATAGGGATGGTAGCACGTCGAGTAAGGTGCGGGTAGAGCATTTATCCACCTGTGATCATACTTGTGGCCCTAACTTTTATCTTCCCGCGATCATACCCACAGGTAAGATTTCGTACCTGCGTCGGCGGGTACCCAACAGGTATCAGGTACCCGTCGCCCGTCAGGTATATTCAAGAGAGATCAAATAATAAAATCATAGTTATATAAAACAATAAATTCATAGATATAGATAAACAATACGCAAATATGTCAATCTCACTTACATGGAGTTTATTAGGATAATATACAGTAGCTCACAAGACATAGTACATCATAGATTCATAATTCGATCATTCATGCTCATACGAATGACATAAAACGACTTACATAAGAAATGAAGTAAGGCTGTGCGGAACCTAAACCTAAAACGGGTCTCCAACACAATACATATAGTCTCCAACATGGTACCTATATGGAAGACCCATTTTAGATGCCAAGAGAGGCATAACTCAAATCTGAGTATCCTCTCTCTTGGAGACCCATTTGCAGAAAAAGGTTGTCTTTTAGGTCTTGTTGTTGGAGAAGACCAAAAATAGGTATTGAACCCTTTGCCCGTAGCGCTACCCAAAGAACGAATGTGTCTTATATTTTGGGTCGCGGTTGTTGGAGACAGTCTAGCAAGTTAATAGCTCACATAATCACTTTATTTAGTCATCCATAAAAAATATCATCTTTATAGTTCAACATGTTATGGATTTGTTATAAATTACATGTTAAATGAATTAGCTGATATGATATGCATATGACATAGATTATATGTATTTATATAAATTCTCAAATTGCGGGTATCCATCGAGTACCTATGAGTAAAATTTGTTACCCGCATTTTTTGTGGGTACCTGACCCTCATGTTGCCGCGGGTAAGTTTTCGGACCCATGTCCCACAGGTAAGATTGCCATGCTTCAAGAGCTACATATCTAAAGGGTTTTTTTCCTGCTAAAAAAAATCTAAAGGTTTTTTTTTTTTTGAGAAATGGCTACATATCTAAAGGTCCGAGATCAAAATTTATGCACCGGAACACATGTATGGGCCTTGGGCTGCAATCACTTGGGCTTCATCCATCAAGGGTCCAGTACGGTGGCGGACCCTGGCCCAATTTCTATGTGAGGCGTCAACAAACAACAGTTATTAACTCGCTATACTAGTAGATCCTAAAAAAATCGCTACCACAATACTGGTATGCGTGTTTTTCTAGCCTCTAGCCTGCCTTCGAAGCAATTCTAATCAGTCTCCGTGGGTGTTGTGTTGCATCACCGCACGCACGGCGGGTATCCATTCCATGCATGCCTTGCGATGCTCGCGGCTCGCCGCCCGCCCTGGAAGCAACAAAGATTCTCGTTCGAGAGCGAACCGAGACATGTTATATAGCTGCCTCGCAACCTTGCGTTCCATGGTGTGCAAGCGCAACTCGGTGCGCAAAACAAAGCCGCCGCAACCATGGACAGGGCAACATCGTACGTCGGCTGTGGCGCCGTCCTCCTCGCCCTCCTGTTGGTCAGCTTTGCGCGCCCGTGCCACTCCTCCCTCTACCGCCCGCCGCCGCCCGTCATGGTCTACCACGCCGGCGAGGTGCTCGACGGCGCTGTGCCCATATCCGTCCTCTACTACGGCGCCTTCTCGCCACACCAGAAGGCCATCATCGCCGACTTCCTGCTCTCCCTCTCCCCGCGCGGCCGCCAGCCACAGCACCACGGGTTCGGGAGACGCCGCCCTTCAGTGCCCGGGGCGGTGCGCGTGGCCGTTCCACCCGGCGGAGGGCTTCGCCTACGGTGCCAGGCATGTGCCCGGGCGCGGCCGCGGCGAGACGCTGCGCGCGCCCAACGGCGACGTCGGTGTGGACGGCATGCTGATCAACCTCGCGGCGCTGCTGGCCGGCGCGGTCACCAACCCATATGGGCACGGATACGTCCAGGGCGACCCCGGCGCGCCCGTGGAGGTGGGGGCTGCGTGCCCGGGCGTCTACGGCCGCGGCGCGTACCAAGGTTACCCCGGCGCGGTCAAGCTTGACATGATCACCGGCGCTGGGTACAACGTGGTCGGCCGCAACGGCAGGAAGTATCTCGTGCCGGCGCTGGTCGATCCCGACACCAACTCTTGTATCATCATGACCTAATGGAGTCATCAGCTTGATGAGGCTCGTCTGATTTGCACCCGTTTGTGACATGACAGTTATTAGGAGTTGGGGCAACCAATGTTTACTTGTTATTAAGCTCGGGTACATACGATCTAGCGCTGAATGTCATTTGAGTGTCTACTATAGGTAACCACCACCTGATTTTTTATAGTAGTATTTACAATTAACAAAGTTGTGCTCCTAATAAAGATCTAAACGACTCTGATGAGAATGGCTATTGGTTGTGTGCATCAGGCGACTGCTCCTTGTGCAAAGTATATTATTTATTTATGAAATATAGCATAAATATATTTTTAGTTCGTTTTTATGGGACGTGAAAGCAATTCTAATCGAGACTCTGTTCAGGTTCATAAACTCAAATCTAAAGGCTCATTTTTTTTTAAAAAAAACAACTCCAGCGGGCTCTTACTCGGAGCACGTTAAATCTACCCTATGAGCACCTTCTCTGGTGGCTGTACCATAGGCCTTTGTTCCTTGGTTTTGTTTCTTCCTTGTGCATTTGTTTGTTGGTTCCGTTTCTTCCCCACACACACACATAACTCTGTTTTTTTCCACCGCCGCCTTATCTAGGCCTCTAGGGCCATCCACAAGCCCCTACCCTTAGTGGCGACCACGATGGCACAGTATGAATTGATGAGTACGTCCTAAGGGCATGGGCTAAGTACCTTGAGTGTCGAGTGCTTGATAGAGACATCGACGATGGTGCAGAGCACGGGCATGTGGCGGAATCCCGGTATGCGCTAGACGAGCTCTAACTCCCCATGGAGGACAATGTCCATGGGATGACCTGTGCACGGGGGTGGCTATTCAACGTCAAACTCGGAGGTAGGGAGGTCGGGGTTAGATAGGGTGGGGAACCTGGATAAGCGAGATCACGTAGGAGAGGATGGGGTGCGTCTACAGCTTCGGATCCATGGCGGTTGAATTGGGTGGGAAGATTGGAGTGCTGAGTTGACGGATGAGGATGAAAGAGAAGTGATTCTTTGGAAAAAAAAAAATTTATGCTACTGATAAGTGGGCCTTAGAAAAATAGAGGATCAAAATTAAGGATTGTTTCTAGAGTTAAAGCACGAGAGACTTCAAGTCAAATCCCAAATACAGGGTCTAATTTAAGGGTTGTTGTTAGAGGTTCTCTAAGCATGTTTCCTTAAAGTGCTATTAGCTCAACTAGCAATGAAGAAACATGCTATTGTTGTGGAAGGGTTAGTGAGTTTAATCCAAAATTATGAGCTCGCGTGTTTGACAACCATGAGCCATAACTCTATGCACCCATGAGCCAAATGCACCTTATTCAATTTGGTCTAGCTTCGCCAATGATTCAAGACTGGTTTAGTGAAGCTAATTTGACGTGGATGTCAATAGTTATTTTTATAAAACTTAGTCAAATTTATTTATTTATTTTTGATTTGTGACAAAATGAATTGAGTACTAGTATAAATAAAGTTATTAGAAACCTTGGTTGACATTGTGGAAAAGAATGCAATTCTTGTTTTTTTAGGGCTCAAATGCTTCCAAGTTTGACCATAATTATAAAAAAAATACTAACATTTATGATACGAAATACTAGTATTGTTAGATTAATTATAGAATATGTTTTTCGTAATAAACTAATTTAAAGACATAAATGTAAATACTATTTACTATAAATTTGTTCGAACTCTTGAACTACTTGATAGGCATGGATACTGTTGTTACATTCTTTTGTAGACGGAGGCAATACATGTTACCAATGTGACTTGAGTTTTTTTTATTTATAGGCCCTGTTTGATAGGGCTCCTCACTGGCTCTAGCTCCTTCGGACGATTCCTACTAAACAGTTTGTAGGAGAAATTGTTTGGGACAATTTTCAGTGGAAAATAGAGAAGCCCTCTGAAACACACTAATGCTCCGCCTCTCTTTGTATCTCTATGCATATAGTGTATCCTTATATACTAGTACTTCGTATTTTCTATATTCCTGTGTATTATGAGCATCTCCAAGAGCCTTTCTAAAATCTGCTCTGGCGCTGTTCGGCTGGTAAGAAAACCAGCCAGAATTCACTGTTCTCGGATGAAAATCACTGTTCATGCTCTCACAAATTCCTCCAGATTTATCCAGATTCCTCCAAATTCCTCCAAACGAACAGGGCCTATATATCATCATTTAAAGAGTCACCTGAGTAAAAGTTATTTTGTTTTTTTAACCTAAAAAATAGTTTTCTATATCTTTGTATTCTCTAACATATTTTGTATATCTTGTGCCCAGTCTAGAGAGTCATCCTCGCCCTCAATCTTTGGCTAGCGAGAAATCTAGAACAGAGCATATCTATATCTAGATATGCAATTGAAGAAGCCGTTGGAAGGTATTTTTTTATCAAAATCTTTATTTCTTGTAAATTAGAGTCTTTCGGAGATGCTCTGTGTAACACCTCTGGTGTTTTGACCTAGCACTAAAATTTGACATGTCATCATATGCATTGCAAAGCATTCATAGAGTAGAAAATTTTGAATGCATTCACTAAATAAGGCTTATTTCATAATGTTGTTATTTCATGTGATGTGTTTCAAAACCCTAAATAAAGATCATGACCACAAGGGTCAAATTTCATGTGATCATGTGAGGCCATGTGTCATTTGACTCAAATAACCCTAATGGGCCATGTTACTGGTCAAAAATCAAAGTTAAAGTAAAAGAAAGACAAATCAAATTTGAATTCAAATTCAAATTATAAAAGTCCTTTTTGCCCCTTTCGAAAAATTCAAAATCCATATGGAATTTGGGGTTGAGGCAAAAAGCAAAGTTGAAGATTATTTTATATGGATCAACTTTGGCATTCAAAGTTTTTCAAGTTTACATATAAAATTTGGAGTAATTTTAAAATGATTCAAATACTCAAATGCACCCCAAATTCAAATTTCAAAATGGAGGCAGAATTTGAAAATATTCATTGAAGCAAAGTTGTAGAGTTTGAAAAGTTGAGCAACTTTCATTTTTGGAGATTTTCAACTTCTTTAGAAAATTTGAGAGTAATTTGCAAAATAAACTCGGTGGCAATTCTGTAATTTCTCGGAATAGTAGCCGACCACCGCCCCACCGCCGGCGTCCTTTCTCCGGCCTTCCAGGCGCTTCTGCGACCGCCCTCGGCTTCGCGCTGGCACGAGCAGCTCACTACGTGTCGTTCCCTCGCACTCTTGGCCGCGCTATAAAGCTCCGACGTCGTCGTCGACTTTGATTTCTCTCCTCTGTTTTCCGCCGCCATCGCTTCAGCTCCGGCGAGCTATCCTCGCCTCCTCATCGCAAGATAGCCCCGGAAAAGCAGTGTCTCAGTTTCGCCTGCTCCTTGCACCTCCAACCGACCTGTTGCTACCACTTGATTTCGCCGAGAACTCGCTGTCTACGTTCTTCTTCCTCGCGGCCGGTGATCTCGACCGAAACTCCGTTTCACCGCGGCCAGCATCATTCGGTGAGCCGTTGTCCTTGCTTGTTGTCGCTACAGCTTTGTCTCGACGCTGTGATGCTTAATCCATTCTTGTTTGGTCGTTTTGCTCACTGCAGTCATCAAAACTCCGTCGCCGACGAAGTTTGCTCTGCCGTGACCGCTGTCACCGTCGACCCGCGTCACCGTAGCTCCTCTGGTCTCATTATTTGCTTCAACACGTTCGGGGTGAGCTGCTGATCCTTTCTAAGCCTTTTGTTTGATCTCTACTGGCCTTGTTTCGCCGGCATAGCGATGTCGTGCCACCGCGTCCGCCATGGCCGGTGTCAGCCTTATTCCATGCCGTAATCAACCTCCAAAGTGCCACTAATAGATGCGCCTAGCTCTTGTGAACATGTTAGTGATTTGGCCGTCGCTGTTGGGCTCATCGTCGGCGAGTTTGCGCCGATCAGCGCCATCGCGGCCACGGTCAATGCCCGAGGTTGGGGATGACAGGTGGGGGCCGGCTGTCAGTGAGAGCAAGAGAGAGAATAGTGCCTTTTGTCATTTTCTGATTTTGAATAGTGCTGAATCTTTGGAAATTTGTAGGAAAATAATCATAGTTCCAAAAATTCTGAAAAATTTTGTGTAGCTTCTGTACATGCTCTATTATGGTTTAAAAAATTGAAACTTGAAATTTGAATAAATTTTTAATGTTCAAAAATTTTGTCAATTAATTGATAAATGCAATTTTCACAATTTTTGTAGGTCACTGTATAGCTCCAAAAATTATGAAATTTATTTTGGTACACTAATTTGTTATGAGGAAGCTTACATAAAATTTTGAGGTCATTTGGAACAAGTTTATTTTTGGGCTTATTTTAAATTAATTAAAAATTGAATAAAAGCAACCCTAATTGTTAGGGTTAGGGTTTAATTCTTGTTTGGGTCATGTTGTGTGACCAGTAGGGTTTCAAGATCAGTTTGGTCAAGTCACATGTGTGGTTCTTACTGGTAGAATTGCAAGTTGGTTTTGTTGGCTTGCAACTGTACCGTGAAGGAAAATCATTTACGGGGTGTTTTTACATTTCATGTACCGTGAAAGCATTATGTTTACATTATCATCATGTTAAAGTATATGTTATCATTTCGTGTAGAATCCGAGAGTGAAACGATTCTAGTTGAGCAAGTCCTGGAAGAATCCTCGGTTGTCACGGAATTTGATAATTGTGGTACTGATCCGAAACCTGAGATCGTCAACGAAGGCAAGCCCCGGTTTATGCATTAAACCATTACCTTATTTACTTTGAAAAGTTTATCACCTATGTTACCTATTGCATTAAGTTGATTTAGTTCAAATATTGCCTACTTGATGCATTGCCTACCTTGTCAATTATTTATCTTATTTGAAGATGTTTTCATTTACAAAGGCGTAGAATGCTTAGAATGCTTATGGTAGGTTTTCAAAGTAAAAGTTTCAATACAATCAAAGATGGCATACTGGCCAAAGAAAGAAAGAAGGTAGAATGAACTAGAGACTAGTCGGGTGACTTATCTTGAATGTTGGATAATGTTGCCGACTATATCGCTTAAAGGCCACTCATTGTGGATCTTCTGAACGAGACACTTTGTAGTACTGGTCACATACTCCGGTAAGCCTACTTCGGCTAATCCGATACTAAGACGAATGCCCACGCACTGGGAGTAGTGAGATGGCGGGAGTAGCGTGTACCCTCGTGGCTTGAATGTGGCCGGATTTGAGGTGTGCTGTGCTCTCGGGTGGCGTGGAGACGGCTTAGTATGGGAGGATCCGGTAGCGAGGTTGATATATGCAAGATTAAGTTCTACATATGTCGTGTGATAAGGAATCCCCAGCTGGGACTTGAATCAATTCGAATTGCCGGTGCTCCGCGGATATGGAGACTCGATTCATTACAGAAGCAATGCAGGACTGGTGAATTACTAAAACATGAGAAAAAGAATAGAATGAGCAGGATTGGAACATGGGATATGAACACTTGGTTGGAGATAATGAACTAAAGTTCTTAGGGGTAAAACTTGAGGCAAAGAACTTTTGAATCTTTCTACATTCTTATCTTGACCCAACACCTGCATCCCTAAGACCTTCGTTTTTTTGGTCGGGTCAGTCTTGTTGAGTACCTTTGTACTCAGGGTTTGTTAACCCTTGTTGTAGGTGAGTCGCATGTGCGGGCTTGTTTTGGTCCCTGCTGTATGTCAGTGTTTGAAGTCGATGACGATGAGGAATGATGAATAGCCTTTGGACAAGGCACTAGTTTGTGTGAAATAAATAATGTTAATGTAATATTATCTCGCTACTATGGTTGTATGATACTTATGGTTATATAAGTTTGAAACAACTGTTTTGTAATATTAAAACTTAAGTCTTCCGCTTTATAATCTCTGGTATGTATATTGAAAACTGTTGTAATCTGCAATGACTGTGATTGAGATCCTGTTTGGAAAAGATTCGTGGATGATTCGGGTTTCCCGAGGACACCCGACATACCTGTTCAGTTGTTGGAAACTTGTGTACGCTATCTGAGGTCTGTTGAGACATCAATAGATGTACGTGGGTCCGATTTCTTAGGAGGTTCTGCCACGCTCTGATTCACTATATATTATTACCAACGATCCAGTGTTGCGAAAATTCTAGAACTTTTTTTTTGAGAATCGTGCGAAAAATTCTAGATGATATTAACGATGAACTTGACTATGGGCTTACATCGAAGGATCCCAGTCGAGGAAATCAACGGTTACAATTGGATGGTTGGTATGACCACAATCAATCAATCTTAGTCGCACAAGCACAACGCACATCTGGTGGCTGCCTTGTCCAGTTTTCTACACCCCCTCCAGATCCGATCTGATCTACGCCGGCGACACACCGGAGGACCGCCATGACGCTCAGCCTCCGCCGCAAGCAACTCGGTAAGCCCTAACTCCCTGCCTCCATTGCCCCAGTACCCTCCCTCTACTTGCGTGTCTGACCAGCTCTGGCTCTAATCGCGCTCTCTGCCTCTGATACAGATGTTATCGTGCGGATGCTGCACCTGAACCAGCAGCAGTTGCCGAACGGCGGCGAGGGGCAGGGGGAGGACGATGCGTACAAGATCCTGGTGATGGATCAGCCCTGTATCTCCGTCCTGTCGCCGGTGCTCATGCTCGGCGACCTCCGCCATCACGGTGTCACCCTCACCCTCAACATCGACCGTCCGCGGCAGGCGGTGCCCGATGCGCCGGCCGTCTACTTCGTCCGGCCCACCCCCGGAAACGTGGGCCGCATAGCGGCCGACGCCGCCGCGGGGCTCTACGGGTCTTTCCACGTCAACTTCTCCACCTCCGTCCCGCGACCCCTGCTGGAGCGCCTCGCAACCGCCTGCGCCGCTGCTCCGCCCGCGTGTGCGGGCCGCGTAGCGCGCGTTGCTGACCAGTACATCGACTTCGTATGCCTCGAGGATGGCCTCTTCTCGCTAGCGCAGCCCCGGGCCTACGTCGCCCTAAACGACCCCGCCGCTGCCGACGCTGACATCACTGCGCTCGTTGACGCCGTCGCGCTGGGCCTCTTCTGCGTCGTCGCCACGCTCGGTGTTGTGCCTGTCATCAGGTGTGCACGCGGCGGGCCAGCTGAGATGGTGGCTGGCGCCCTCGACGCCTGGCTCCGCGATCACCTACTCGCCAAGCCCAACCTCTTCACGGAAGCTGCATCTGCCGCCGTCACGTCATTCCAGCGCCCTGTGCTGTGCCTCTTCGACAGGAATTTCGAGCTGTCTGTTGGGGTGCAGCACGACTGGAGCTACCGCCCGTTGGTGCATGACGTGCTTGGCTTGAAGCAGAACATTCTGAAGTTGCCGGCAGAGAAGTACGAATTGGATGACTCTGACAAATTCTGGGTGGCAAACAGCTGGTCTCCATTCCCCAAAGTTGCTGAGGAAATCGAGGCGCAGCTTGCCAAGTACAAGCAGGATGTGGATGAGGTGAACCAGCGCACTGGTGGTGGCAAGGTTGGGGTTGAGTTTGATGGTACTGATCTGATTGGCAACACTAAGCATCTTATGAATGCGGTGAACTCACTACCAGAACTGACAGAGCGGAAGAAGATGATTGATAAGCACACCAATATTGCAACATCATTGCTTGGGCATATCAAGGAGAGATCTCTGGATGGATACTGTGACTGTGAGAATGATATGCTTGTGAATGGCACTGTTGACCGGAATACACTGCTGAGTCTCCTCAGAGGGAAGGGCACTAAGGAAGATAAGCTTCGGCTAGCTGTGACGTACCTGCTGTCCTTTGAGACACCACCATCATCTGAACTGGAGCAGGTTGAGGCTGCTCTGAGGGAATCCGAAGTTGACATGTGTGCATTTCAGTATGTGAAGAGGATAAAGGCATTGAATACCCAATTTGCATCTGCTTCAGGCACAGCAACTAAAAGCAACATCGTCGATTGGGCAGAGAAGCTGTATGGACAGTCCATTAGCGCTGTGACTGCAGGAGTAAAGAATCTCTTGTCAGATGGGAGGCAGCTGGCCTTGACAAGAACAGTTGAAGCTCTGATGGAAGGGAGACCAAACCCTGAGGTGGATGACTACCTTTTGTTTGATCCACGGGCTCCTAGGTCAGGAACTGGTGGGCAGTTTAAAGGACCCTTCAGAGAAGCTGTTGTTTTCATGATTGGTGGTGGAAATTACATTGAGTACAAGAGCTTGATGGAGCTAGAGCAACACTCACAGCCTTCCAAGCATGTTATATATGGTGCAACAGAAATTCTTAGTGGGGCTGAATTTATTCACCAACTGGCAGAATTGGGGCAGAAAGCAGGATTGGGTGGTGGCAGCAGCAACATAACACCAGGTTCAGCACAATAGGTAGGAAGCTCTTACCAGACCTTTTGATGTTAAGGAGTGATTCAAGCTTCAGAGGTTACAGTAAATAGGCTCATACCCCAAATCTTATTTTAAGGAGTGTTCCAGGCTGCATAGATTAGTGATATCAAATTTCATGAACTCAAGTTTATGCCCCTGCGATTGATGAGTTGTCAATACATAGCTTTGTCGTTTCAATTTGGGTTTTGATATGATCAACTGGGTTTTGATATAATGAACTGCCCATGTATGCCTATTTTTACTTTGCTGTACTGTATTTCCTTTGCCCCCTTTATTTTACTGAGAATTGGTCTTGGAGTTCTGTTTGCACACTCAGAAATCAGTTCATGAATATTTATAACAGAAACCTAGTTCTGATGTTTGGATAATTTGATTTTGGTTGAAATCTTGGTAGTTCCAGGCTGTTATATCTTTCCCTTGCTGTAGTGCATGACTTCCTGCTGGGCATATGTGGGTAACTGAAACCCCATATATATGATTCACCATCTCAATAATATGTGTGTGCAGGATGATGTAATATGTAAATTCATTTTGCCTGTTGAGAATACAAGTTTATTACTTGAATATGTCATGTGGGGCAGCCAGGGACTTAGTGCTTGCGTTCCTGGTGGCATGCAGCCGGTCCCCGGCTGCCCCACATGACAGAATATGACAACAAATTGTTTTATCTACAATAGTTGGATACTTTGGATTGGGAAAATGCATTGTAGCAATTGCAAGTTGAAGGTGGTAATAGTTTGAAGATGATTGCGTCAATTACTGTTCTGACATTGGCTATCGCCTTTTGAAATTATTATTAGGTTTGTGCCACTGGTTCTCAAAAGTTGATTTGTTCATGTCAGTGGAACATAAACATCTTTTGTCCAAGATGTTTGACTGTGGCAAATAGCCTAAGTGCCTAACTACCTCGCATTTCTTGTGATTCTTTCTTTCTCCATCCCTTCATCTCTCAATTACAATCAGGGCCCACCTCATCTTCTCTCTCCCACAGTTGGACATGGTTCAGCGGCCTCCATTGTGGTGTGATCTCCAGATGCAGTTGCTGGAGGAGGCAATAAGCGCCACTGTCCTTGGATCCTGGTGAGCTTCCAGCAGTTCGCGGATCTTGGCTACAGGTCCTCGTGCTGCCATGCTCCGCCGGAGCAGCCACCGCTAATGTGGGCACCCCATAGTGACCACTGACGACACGGAGTGACATGGCTCCTCTTCATTGATGGCTTGAGCCTAGCCCTCTCCCTTCTCAAACCACAAGCTTTGGCATGGGGATGGCAGTACACCAGTACCCACTGCAGGTTCCATCTATCGATCGGATCTCAGGCGTGCCACGAGTGCACCCACTCCCAGCTCATGCCCTAGGTCTTCCACACCCCGTATTGCTGGTGACCAAAGCTCGGCAACTTTGGTGCAGTGTGAATCAGAGCTGTGTTGTCCCTCAACTCCCTGCACAGGTGAGCAGCTAGCTCACCAGCACCCACACACTCACTCACAGCTGTAGGATGAAGAAAGGGTTGAGCACAGAACACACACACACAAGGAAAGTGCTGCTGCAGCTGCACGCTGGTGCTGCTGCTGTGCTCTTGAGAACAGAATACTCACTCACAGGACACTCTGCAGGTGTAGCAAACTGAACTGAATATTACATTACCATGGCTGCAATTATATACACAGAGGTAGCTAGTGGAGGTTGACTGCTGTAGCAGTTAAGTCATCTAGTCTACAGTCCTACCTGGCTACTAGGAACTTGCTAGGAAGTTGCTCTGCAGTTGCACTGCAGTAGCAAGGAAATTACACTGCCTGTGCTTGCAGCCAGCAGTGGACAGCAAGGTATTGACCTATTGTCAATCTTCTGTCCAGCAAAACAATCAAGGTCAGCAGCAGATTATCTTAACAAGCTGGACTGAGGAACGACGACAACTTGGGTCAAAGAGTGCCTTGCATCGACTCCTGTGGCTGGTCCCCATCCTTCTGATTCATCTAGATTCTAGAGTGTATGCTGAGCACCTATAAAGCATTAGAATAACTGGTCTGATGTTGGATCACATTTTTAATTTTTCGGAATCTCCTACAACCACACAGTAAAATATAGTCTCTCTCTCTCAATACACTAGTTATCATATATAAATATAAACCTATTGTTTCAGGACCATCAGTAAACAGAAGGAAACACTTGTGGTTTCTATGTTTAGCACCGTGTGCAACTGCTTTTTGGAGCATAAGGGGAAACATGAGTTTTTTTTTTCTATTTCACACCCTTAATTCTGAAAAAAAAATCAAACATGTTTACATGTGCTTCTCACTCCTTTTTCGTTGCAGTAGACCATTTCTATACCTTTAACTTTACTGACAAACCTTTCACAAGTATGCAAGGAGAGCTTTGTTGTTTCTTAACTGAGCTACCACTGAAAGAAGATGGAGGATCCATGCTTGGGCAACAGATTTATTGATAATTATTTGTTCGTACCAAGGCTTGTGATTCCCACTTGTATATTGGTAAATTGCTTCTGTCATCACTTGTTAATTTATATTTTTCATCACTTCAGTTGAGGTATATGTTGTTTGTGGTAATAAATCTGCTGACATATGCACATCTGTGTGTTATGTTTAGTTTTATCTACCTGTTTCAGAAGGAACAGCTACCAAAATAATGAAGATACATGATACATTAATTAATTTAATTATATATCATAGGAATGTGATTGTTAGTAAAATGAGTTTGAAATGTAGTTATAATACCCCAATGATTATGGAGTAAAGTTTTCTATGTTTTAAGCCAAATAAAAGTAGTAGATATCAGAAACAAAAGTGGCTGTTATAGGCCAACACAAATGCTAAAGAAACCTGTCAACATTTAAGAAATGCTAAAGAAACATGTCAACATTTAGTTTGTCCAAAATAGATGGCGTTTACATAGAACTGAAAAGAGTGCAGCACTCCAAGGATAAGTCTTAGAATCAGCAAACTAAACGCCTTTAGAAAAGAAAAGAACAGTCTATTTTAGGGTTCCATAATAGACGATCCTCTTTTAGTACTTCAGATGTTCTTATTCATGTTAACCCTTGTAATTCATGATAATTAGTAGATATCCGACTGTCAGTGGTATGGGGCAATATCACTGACCCTTTCGGGCAGATGGATGGTTACCCTTCAAATGTGAACTGGTATTTTTTGTGGTATTGGTTGATCAGATTTAATAATGAAGATCTTTCCCCAACATTAGGAGATGAGCAAATCCAATTGGATTGCCAGTGGCTATCATGGAACTATAGTAGCCTTGGTATACACATGGATAGATTAAATACAAGAAATATTCTGAAAAGAAAAAAAGCAAAAGCTTGAAGGAAATAACTATAACTGTATCCTCTGCAGCAACAACATTGAAGAAACTGCTTTCCATCTTTTCTTCAGCTGTCCCTTTAGCCAAACTTGTTGGCAGCACCTTGGAATTAATTGGGATTTCACAAGAGAATTTTTCGAGATGATGCAGCAGGCTAAAACTCAATCTCAGAATCCCTTTTTCATGGAGTTCTTCACCATTGCGTCATGGCAAATTTGGAAGCAGAAAAACAACTTCATCTTTGATAGGGGTCGGCCTTCTTTTATCTCTTGGAAGAACTCTCTCTGTGGAGAAGCTAGGCTTCAAGCTCATAGGTTCAATGTTGTAAGCGTCTAGAGTTCCTTTCTTGTATAGTCCCTCTAGCCTAGTTCTTCTGCCTCCGTAGGGCCTGCTTCTTGTGTAGCTCCTCCCCTTGTTGTGTCCCCTTTGTACAGTGTTATTTCTCTTTTTTAGTTTTAATAAAATTTACAGTGGGGGCCTCCCCTGCTGTATATTTCGCTCAAAAACATAAGCGGCCCGCAATTCATTGAGGACCATTCCATGTTGCACTTACCTGCATGTACGGCTGAGAGAGAGAGAGGGAGTTGAACCACATCAGGTAAGTCGGGTAGATGGTAGAGAGAGTTCAGGGTTCAATCTCCAACTCTCCCTCCTTTCACGCGAGAGAAGAGGGAGGGAGGGTTTTGCAGAGATGTCTGCTAAAGAGATACATGGAAAAAGGCCTATAGGGACTGAGTCCCTTAATGATGTAGTCTGGGGGATGTGCCACTCCATGTTGAGACACTGAGAAATGCACCTTTTTCACCAGGGGAATGTGTAATACAAAGATCAGGGCACGGGGTCCAGTTGTATCATCATTAAGAAATGTCACCAAGAGTTCTACTCTGATTCTGTTTATCCTCAGCTACCTTACTTCACTCTATTTTATTATTCGAGTCCCAAATGTTTTTTTGTTGTTGGTAGTAATCAAGTGATTGTTAATTATAGAATTCAGACCATGTTATTAATAATTTTTAATTGTTTCTCCATGAACAAGTTAATGCATATTCAGACTATGTTAATATATAGTAGAATTACATAATATTGTTTATTTCTTGCGCAACAGAACATCCCAAGCTGTATGACATATTGTTATTCAGTTGCAATACCCATTCCTATCCATTCAACTTATCTCCATGGCACAACTGGATGGTTGTGATGCTTCCTGCAATGAACTGCATCATCACTGTGCCTTTTCTTCAAGGACCTTTTGTCAGATTGATCAGTACTGGGACATGAATTTGGTTGAATGGTAGCAGCATCTTTTTTAACCTTGGTTATGTCAATCTGGCATTGGCCATCCAATTTTATCCTGATATTCATCTCCAGAAGAAGTGCATTTTCTGCTTGGGGCGGTGAAAACTGGTAATCAGTGACCGAACTAGTAAATTCTCTTATATTCCTCTGCTGATACAGCCTCTGAAGGTGGCGTGCGAGGCAGCACATGCTATTGATGATTTCATGTTCCAAGTCCTCCTCTATCTCTGCCTCCAACTCATCACGAATTCGTAGCTCCTTAGTTGAAACTGTGTTCTCTGGTATGGCAACCTGCTGCAAAATAAATGGTGAGACAGTTCACGGTATGTCATTTCAACTTTGCTTTTGTTCCTTTTGTTATCTTTAAGTAAATTTTAATAGACACCGATGTACTACTGCAGTAGAAAGGAAAATAATTTGCATATGATCCATTGTACTGCTGATAAATCTGGTGAACATGACAAGGGAAAGAAAGAAATACCAAAGCTACTGAAACGGCAATGTAACAGACTGCTAGATGATAACCTGGCTGGGCTTGTCCATGTTTGTACACCGAGAATGCTCTTGGCCTTCTTATTATTTCTATCCTGATTTTCAGTTCAGCAAAGGTTTCTGTGCTGTTTGTGTTCTGACATTTCTCATCGGCCTTGTGGCCATTTATACATTCTGTATTGGCCCAGACGAGGCCCTTTTGTACACTTGCACTGGACACTATCAGGCCGAAAATTTCAGGGGAAGTCGCTTGATCACCTGCTGATGCATGTTCTTGTTTGCTCGTGCAGGCATTTGTCAGTTTGTTTTCTCTCAGTAATTTGATCAGCAAACCGGATGTGTCTGCTTCAGCGGTTGGCTGTGAGTTCTTTTTCTTGGAAGGTGCAACAAGAAGTTACAGTCTGGTTGCACTTGGAAGTGAAGTTCCTGTACACTGTCGCAAGCAAATCTTACGACTATCATCACATGTTTAGTGTGCATAATGGCCAATCTGAAGGGTCGCACATGGGTGCTTTTCGGATGATGTGCTCATGGTTTCTGCTCAGGTAGTACAGTATATTATATTTAATTCAATCGTCGAACTTCTCTTGGTTGTGCTTGATCTACTGCGCCCACAGAATATATACTTCAAGATTGCCTGGATATAGCACTTTCATTTTGTAATTATAATCGTTGGAGAGTTCTTATAATCTTACCGAGAGGCAAAGATTAAGAACTCTCTTTCATTCTTTTTTTTAAAAAAACATCTAGAACTTTTTTTTAAAAAAACATCTAGAACTGTTTATCACGGGAATGTAAAAAAAAACACGGCCTGCGGTGGGCAAACAGCTCCGCAACTTTGTGTTTAAGGTACAAGACCTCTCACATAGACTGAGAAACCCTCTGAACCCCATGCCGCATCTTGTGAGTGGGCTGATCTATTAACCTGTGTTTTAGAAAATGCGGGACACACGAGAAGATTTTTTTTTACCTCTGGCAGGCGAACGAGCACACCGTGGGGGCTCGAACCCTGCACGCGAGGGTGCCGACCGGACCTGACCTTCTGGTCCGCGGAGCCGTTGGCACGGGAATGTAAGAACAGTTATAATCTTGTAAATTGTCGTTACTGTTGCCTCCGTACATCTCAAGGATGGTAAAGCGTATGCGGGCTTAGCAGTCAACCTATTCAAAGTTGTAAAGGAACCTTTGCTCAAAAGAAATTAATCTTCAAACCAGGTGAATCCACACGTTGTTCTTCTAGAAGGATACATCTCCCTTCTCTCGGAAGAAAAATGTGTTACCCTGAGGAAATCATGGACCCGTAGTCCGTAGATTGGACGCCACATTTCACATTATACTTTGTGATGCATTTTATTTGATAACGTACTTTGTGATGCATGTGAACTTAATAGGAAATATGAATGTACGATACGCATGTATTTATGAAAATTATTTCAAATATAACGACGACATTAATTAAACAATTCATGCATTTACTATTAATACTATTAATCACATATAAACAAAAAATCGATTAATATCCTCGTGTTCACTGTGATTGCTGTTTGTTGGGGGCCAATATTAGGGTACCCGAAGAGAAGGAGCTAATGATTGTCAACAATGATTTATCTGCGCGATCAAGAGCACGACTACATCGCTTGCCGGGTCACTTCTCATCCGTCCACCGAGACCATGTGCCCTGCCTCGTCTGACCCTCGAGGGTTGGCAAAGCCTCGGTGGGCGCTGTGGCCGCAGGCCTCGTCTCGCCCGACCCTCGAGGGTTGACTCCGCCTCGCCCGACGTCTGAGGGTAGACTCTGTCTCGTCCGACCCCCGAGAGCTAGCCCCGCCTCGCCCGGCGTCTAAGGGCAGACTCCGTCTCGCCTCGACCCCCGAGGGCTAGCTCCGCCTCACCCGACGGCTGAGGGCAGACTCCGTCTCGCCTGACCCTCGAGGGCTCCGCCTCGCCCGACGTCTGAGGGCTGGCTCCGCCTCGCCCGACGTCCGAGGGCATGTCTGCACGCTGCTCCTTCATAACTACGCGCGCAGATAAGGCAGGGCATTTAAGTCAACCGCAATACCGAGAACCATGCCCTGCATGTCTGTAGGAAGGTACCGTCAGGATATGACCAGAAGGGCGCTTTGAGACTTTTCAGGTATGTCAGAGTCCAAACAGTGTTGTAAGCGCCGATATTTGTCTTACAGTGTTGTGGGCGCCGCCATTTGCCCTCGGGCACGGGTCCTAACAGAAGCACGCGACAACCACTACGGTCCAGGAGGAAACTCACATCACCTACAGTAACAGACGTGCGGTCACTGCGCCGTCTGCTTCCCGTAGGGCCACGGATCAGTACCCTGGTCCGCCGCGCCGCGCCGCTCGCTGGGGCGGGATGGGACATGACAACTTGTTGACAATGCCAGGACATGGCATCATCAGCGGACAGACGCCCAGCGTGGCCCTATCAGGATCAGCGGACATGCACCCAGCGTGAAGCTGTCCCGAGCACCGCCTGCCATGTCAGCGGGGCTCGCACAGAGGAAAAGAAAGACCCGGCATCTTTGAAGGACCTCCTTTGCCCCTGGTTTTTCTTCTTTCTCTCATCTGTAATCCCTGCTCCCCCTTGGCCTATAAAAGGGAAAGCAGGGCACCCCACCAAGGGGATCGATTCAAGAGATCACGCATCACATCACACATAGCTGAGCAGCAACCAAGCTCTCGGCACCTATTCGACCTTTCCATCAGAGATTTAGGACCTGTCCCTCTCTCGCCCGTTTGTAACCCCTACTACGAACCTTTCAGTGCTAATAACATGAGCAGCAACCACGAACTGGATGTAGGGACACTCAGCCCGAACCAGTATAAACCTTGTGTCTTTTTAACATACCATCCGGGCTAGACGCGCAATAACACAAATTTACTCGTTGATGTTTACTCGAAACACCGATAGTTGGCACGCCAGGTAGGGGACCTTTGCGCATTCCAACACTAACATTAGGCCACAGATGGCTAGCCACGGTATCAGCTGGGTCCCGGGTGCACACGTGCGCTTCGGACACCTGGACTTCATCATCACGGTGCGAGAAGAGTTGGCATTGGCTCACGCTGCCATTCAACCTCTTCCCTCCATCGGCCTCAACCACGGGAGGCTTGAGCGCCAGCTCGGTGTCTCCCTGGGACCCCAGCCATCCCAGGAGGACCTGCGCCGCCTCACCTTCTCTTATGCCAAAGACATGACGTGGCTCGCCGGACGGGAACCCATCTATTCGGAACACCTCATACGGAGCGCCCCGACAGTGCTCCCGTTCGGTCTCCGCAACGCCGCGGGGACCGGTAGCCACCTTGTGGCACAACGCATGATTCCACCTCCCACGAATGATGAATTCATGGGGGTGATTGAACATGTCACGGAATCTTTCCACGACCTCCTTATAGAGGAGCCAGAGTCGCCCTCTGGCTCTGACTCCAGCAGGGGAAGCCATCACCCCTCTCATGAATGTTTCATGACGGGTACCCTCGAGGGACATGTCGAAAGCATCCGCAAGGAGGAGGCTATCCCGACGAACAAGCTCGACGACGAGGCCGAGGGGGAGACAGCGGCCCCACCTCGCATGCGGGTGGAGCAGCTAAAAGCCCAACACTGAGAGATCGAGGAAGCATGGCTCCAGCTCGAGCAGGAATGCACGGAGCTCGATCGGGAAATCGAGCGCCACGGAGACGGCGGGCGCGCACGCGCCATGGCCCGTGACATGAACCGAAGGATCATCGCCGACGATGAAGCCCTCCCTCGTTTTGTCCGGGTGAGCTAGAACATCGCTGCCATGGCGGCCTTGCTCCATGGCCTTCCAGAGGCCGTGACGCCCGAGGATCGTTAGGCCCATCGCGAGATTCGCATGTTGCTCGACCATGTGGCGGCGCAGTAGGACGAGAGCTCATTGTCTCGGTGACGCGAGCTCAACGCCAGCCAGCGCACGCTCTTAGAACATCCCAGTAGGGACGCGTCGGTCCACCAGGAGCCACAAAGCAGTGGGCAGCGCGTCGCGGTCCCAATGCATCAACGTCTCGGCCGCAACCGTGACGCACGCGACACCCTCGATGCTCGTAGGCGTACCCATGACGATCCGAGAGAGGGAGCTAGCCGTGGCTATCACCCTCGCCGTGGCGGACGCTACGACAGCGGCGAGGACCGAAGCCCAAGCCCCGACCTACCGGGGCCTTAGGCCTTCGGTCGACACATCTTCAACGCTGCCTTCCCGCCAAGGTACCGACCACCAACCAACATCCTAAAGTACTCTGGGGAAAAGAACCCTGGACTATGGCTCAAGGATTATCGGCTTGTCTACCAAGCCGATGGTGTGGATAATGATGATTTCATTATCCGCAACCTTCCATTGTTCTTAGCAGATTCGGCACAAACATGGTTGGAGCACCTGCCGTCCAACAGAATCTAAGGTTGTGTGGACCTAAAGGAGATCTTTGTGAGAAACTTACAGGGCACATACAAGCGCCCTGGGAACCCATGGGACCTCAAGAACTATCGACAGAAGGCTGAAGAAACCCTCCATGGGTACATCTGACGCTTCTCCCGGCAGTGCAACGAGCTGCCTAACGTCGTCGACGCCGACGCTATAGGGGCTTTCCTATCCGGGACCACCTACGAGTCTCTGGTTCACAAGCTAGGACGCAAGGGTCCGCGAATCACCAAGGAACTCCTTGACATCGCCACCAGCCATGCCTCGGGCGAAGAAGCGGTCGGAGCGATCTTTGATCGTCTCAATGGCAAGGTGAGGCGGGACAAGGACGCTAGCGAAGGCACCTCCAACTGTCTCGCCAAAAAGAAGAACAAGAAGCAATGGCGTGAGGGCTCTCTCGTGGCCGTCGCTGACCACAGGGGTGGTCGAAAGCCCGCAGAGGGCACTCCGAACCACTTTGAAAAACTACTCGAGTGGCCATGCCCAAACCATGCCTTCCACGTCAAGCATCTGTATAAGGACTGCGCTCTCATGAAGCGGTTCTTGTCCGAAGCCTCAAACAAAGGGGAGCATGGGAAGGACCCTGACCCTACCATGGATGAC